TTCAACGAGCCGTGTTCTCTGAAAGGCAAAAGCAACAAAGAAGTTTTGCAAAAGACGGTGGAAGTTTGAAAAATGCGTTTTGTGCCCACCGTTCGGTACAGAAGAAGTTGAATTTACAACTAGATGGGCAAAAATTAAAGAATGAAAACTAAAGAAATTCATAAAATCGCTCTGCCATACCTATGTGAAATTAACTTATTCAGAGATTTAGAATGTTTTTGAAACTTGGAAAATTACTTATTGTTTTAAATATTAATAACTTATACATTTTTTTCTCTATGGACAAAGAAGATATTTTTGTTAAGATCATTTCTAGTAAATATCTATATAAAGTTAGCAAACTTAAGAATATTTTTCAACAAAAAAGATTTATTTTCTTAAAAATTATATTTTGAAAGTTAGCTAAATTTATTATTAAGTTGTTTTTTTTTAATGATTTTTATATAAGTTTCTTATATTAAATAATTAATTATGAAAAATATATTTTTCTTTAAAATGATGTCAAGTCAACACAATAAAATTCAATTGATTTAAAATATCGCCAAGTTGGCGAAAAATATGTCTATTTTAATGATTTATTGGAGAAATTTTCTACAAAAAATACGAAATTAGTATGAGTGTCCCGCGCACGATCAAACTGTAGTTGTAATGAGATGTAAATTTCTCTGTGCTGGAGTGGCAACAGGAAGACGAGAAAAGAAAATGGATGACACGGTTGTGTTCAAGAAAATGGCGAAAGAAGAAGCATTTTATATGTAATATGTGCTGTGCTGTTTTGATTAAATATATCTTATTGATGTTTTTTCTTCAGGTTGTCCTCTATGAACAAACCTCCTTACATTCATTTCACAATGAATCCTAATAGGAAACAACAATGAGTGAAAATACGGATTGAAATACGAGTTAAAAATTGAAAACGAGTTAAAAAAATATTTTGTATTATAATTATTTATTGTTGCAGTTGTTTAGGTTATTTGATTAATTATGAAAAATGTATTTGTGTTTAAAATTATGCCAAACCGACATTGTAGATATCAAATAAGTTAAAATGTCGTCAAGTTGGTGGCAAATGTTGCAATTTTGGTGAATCATTTGGCGAAGTTTCAATAAAAGACCAAGGACACAGTATGAGGGAAAATACGAGTTGAAAGTTAGTTGTATTTTGTAAATTGTGTTTTTTTATAATTATTTATTGTTGAAGGTATTTATATTATTTGATTATTTATTAAAAATATATTTGTCTTTAAAATGATGCCAAATCAACACTGTAGAAATCAAATGATTTAAAATATCGCCATGTTGGTGGCAAATATGGCAGTTTCGGTGATACATTTGGCGAAGTTTCTATAATAGACAACGAATTCAGTACCAGTGAATCATTATAGATCTAGAGAAGCGAATAAATGTTCGATACCAAAGATGGGATAAAAACAATGTGTTTTCAAATTTATTTCACAATTTCGAAAGTCTTGCAAGCCATATAAAAAGGCTCTCCTACCTACAAACAAGTAGAAAATTCCTAGCAAAAAAATATTGTTTATTTTATGAGAATTTTTTTTTAAAATAAAAATTAAATTTTCACTGGCCTAACACAATTGTACAGAAAAAATATAACATTTCAGACAAAAAAAAAATCATAAAGCAATACAATGATGTCATTCTGAATATCTAAAAAAACTGAATATTTATCAGATTTATATATTTTACAATAACAGTTTTCACATCTATTTTATATTAATAATTTTGATATATTTTATATTAATAACTTTACTATCATAATTTTACTTGTATATTTTTCATTAAACTTAAGAGAGATTAGTCAAAAAATTAGTGCCTAAAAAATTTCTTTTTTTTATAGCCTATAACTTTTGAAATTAGCCACATCTGATAGCTTTGCTAAAATATCAGTAAGATAGCAAGATCTATCTTCTAGAAAATTATTCCTCTTACTCATTAAATAACTCTTGGATAGCGGAATTGTAACTCTGTGGGATAATTGAGGTATGGGGTCTGACTTTTTTAAGTAGCAAGATAATTTTAATTTTTGCTTTATTTTGGTTGATTTTATAAGTGTTTCCTACTTTATTGTCTTATCAATCAATGCCTCTGAAGTACATACGTGAGTGATCAAGTCATAGTGTATTAATAATTTCTGAGTGGGCTAAGTCCATTTTATACTGCATTCGTTCTCCTGTCTGACAAAACATAGGGAAAATAATTGCATGGCTAAACTAGAATAGCTATATTTTGATAGAATAAAAATATAATAAATAATAATTCGAGTGGCAATGAATTGTGAATTATTTCGAAATGAATCTTGAATGGGCAAGATCAATTTCGAAAAAATAATAAGACTGGCAATGGTATCCCTGAGAATAATTAAAACAAAAAAGTAGGAATTAAAATGGTAGGAGTTCGTTAAAAAAACTACCAAAAGATCAAATCAGGCAACCTATTTATACCATGCAGTAAAAAAGATGCGAACATTTTTTATTTTAATTTTACGTCAATTATGTCAATTGCATTAATTGCTAAATATATGTTATAAAATTTAGATTTAATTTTCCATTTTCCAAAATTAATGGTTGCTGAGCCATCTTCAATTTCCTGAGTTGCCATTTATCCAGCAACATCTGCGGTATGAAGAAAACTAATCCCATCAAAAAATGGATCTTCGTAAAAGAGAAAAAAAAAACAACAGATGTAATGTGAACGAGCTATTTTTCCAAAAGCCTCTAATTCTTTTTTTTCCGGCGGAAATGATCAATTAACGCTCTTCCGGAAAGATTATTTCGGTTCATTGAGGTGAACATCTTTTTTATTATTATTCGTTATTTTTTATTTTATTCATTTTTTATTATCATCATTATTTTATTTTTTGAAGACGGGGAATAAAATCGAAAATCTTATCCATATATTTATCAAGATAAATCGAAACGTTATATGAAATTATGGCTGAGGAAATTGAGAATAATGGGATTCTGACTGGGGTAAATACGAATTACATTTTTGACAATTTTGATGTTATTTTATTATTAATGAAAAATATATTTGCATTTAAATTGAGGCCTAATCAATGTAGAAATCAAATGATTTAAAATACCCGAATTGGTGCCAAATCACCTAGTAGAAATCAAATAAATGACTTATAATATCGCAAAGTTAGTGCCAAATTTTGCAATTTTGGTGATAAGTGTAACAAAATTTCTATGAAAGACTGCGAACTCAGTACGATTGTGTTTTTGGAGATACGTTTTTGGAAACTAAAAAGAATTTACATTGGATTTCATTTAAACAGAATAATTGACTCAAATTTAATTTATAAATTATTTCAGATAAAGGACTACCACCATATTCGTAATCAAATATATTTTTCCTCACAGGATAACGTACCTATACATGCATTAAAAAAGAATTGAAAAATTTGTCAAAGGTAATAAAAAAAAAAAAAAAAAAGAAATAGAATTTTGATTCTACACGAAGCCAGTTTTAAATGGGTAGATACTAAATTCTTCAACAGGAAATATATTAGTTTTCTCATTTTATTTTCTAAAAATATTTCCGATTTAATTAATTAAAATTACTTTAACAATAAGCTTTTCCAAAGCATTTAAAATCTTTAAAATTAATAATACCATCTGTCTGTATATTGTATATATGTTATAAAATTACTCATAACCTCTTTGGATAAATTATTTTTATATTAAACACCAACATGACTGTCTACTCAAATATGATTTTACACAAAATCTATTTAAAAAATGTCAGATTTCCTCCAAAAGCTAAACAGTATGCACAGATATTAAACCACAAATATTCCTTTCCTCCGCAACAAATTCATTTACATCAACAACATTCTGCTCTAAAACCATAGATTATCGAAAGACCAAAGAAAAAAAAACCTAAGTGAAATACACTCATCCATTTACTTGCTTCAAAATAATTAGTCGATACAGAGTTAGGGATATTCAAGTTATGAATAAATATGAGATTTACTTACATTCACCCAAGTTAAGTAGTAAAACACTTTTTTTTCCTTACTGCCAATCCTCCCAATCTCTTTGATAGTCAAATCTCTTAAAAGGCTCAAAGCCTTGATATGTGCAGGAAGACATTGACACGAAATCGGAAATCTCTCTTTCCTCATTAGCATTGAGTAACATTTTTAAAGTATTGGGAATTAAGTGAGAACGCACAGCTTTTATGTAAATTGGATCTGAGGTTTCCTCCTTCAAAACGAAAAGTTTCAAAAGGGTAAAAATAGAATTTTAATTTTTCTTCCCCGCACATTTTACTTGCTTACTTACTTAACTTGCTCGGCTTCTCTTAATGCATTTTTAAAAATATTCCGAAGAAGCAAAGCAATTACTTAAAAGAAACTATTTCTTAGTTGGGGAAATTTCAACGAGCCGTGTTCTCTGAAAGGCAAAAGCAACAAAGAAGTTCTGCAAAAGACTGTGGAAGGTTGAAAAACGCGTTTTGTGCCGGCCGTTCGGTGCAGAAGAAGATGAATCTACAACTAGATGGGGAAAAATTAAAGAATGAAAACTGAAGAAATTCATAAAATCGCTCCACCATACCAAAGTAAAATTAACTTCTTCAGAGATTAAGAATTTTTTTGAAACTTAAAAAATTACTGATTGTTTTGAATATTAATAAGATGTAATTTTTTTTTTCTCTATGGACAAGAAGATATTTTTTTAAGAACATTTCATGTAAATATGTACATAAAGTTAGCCTTCCTTAAAAAAAATTATATTTTGAAAATTAGCTACATTTAGTTAATTGCAGGGTTTTTTCCATAATTATTTGCTGTTGAAGTTGTTTATGTTATGTGATTAATTATGAAAAACATCTTTGATTTTAAAATGATACTAAATCTACACAGTAGAAGTCAAATGATTAAAACAATACAAAATTGGTGCCAAATATGGTAGTTTTAGTTATACATTTCAAAAATTTTCTATAAAAGACTTCGTATTCAGTAGTAAGAAAAGCCATCGGCCATACCATGCTGAATATACCGGTTCTCGTTAGAGCACCGAAGTCAAGCATCATTGGGCGCGGTCAGTACTTGGGTGGGTGACCACCTGGGAACCGCGCGTGCCGTTGGCATTCACACATTTGGGACCTGAATGGCCGAGTGTCTACCGCTCTGGAGCTCGGCGCCACAGGTTTCGGGTTCGAATCCCGGCGGTGCCATGGATGTTTGTAGGGGTTCGGAGTCCACTTTAAGCCGTAGGTCCCTGTCTCCTATGACTGTAAGAGCGTCACGGAGCCGAAGTCAGACTTTTACCTACGGGGGTGCTCCATCTCAACAGAAGCTGCTTCCTTCCCCTTCAATCATGAGTACTTATAAGCTCGTGGGCTTGGCCAGCCAAGTGGGATAAGAAACAACAACAACAACAACAAACAGAAAAATATAACTTGAAATACGAATTGAAAATTAGTTACACTTGGTAAATTGTTTTTTAATGATGATATAATTATGAAGTTGTTTATGTTATTTGATTATTTATGAAAAATGTATATGTCTTTAAAATGATGCTAATACAATTTTATCTATAACATAGATACACGATATATAAATTTGAGCACCGAAAATCATCAATAAAGCATTCATTTAAAGCACGAAAAATATTTATTTTTGTGAGTAAAAGGTTTTTCAATGTTAGATTTAAATATTAGATTTCAACTTTATGTAACATAAGAATAAAGTGTTTGCTGGTAAAATAGTTATCATTAAATTTAAATAACAAATCCCGCATTGTAATTTAGTGCACAATATTCAAACTTGAGCATGTCTTGTTTGAATATTTGGGCAATTCTTGAAACATGTGCAAATAATATGTTGGAATATCTTTTTTCTACTTTGCATCTTTAACAATTAGTGTGAATGTAAACATTGATTTATCTTTAAGTGTTTTTTTGTGCATTGCTAGCTGGTAAAATTGCTCCCATTAAATTTAAATAACAAACCATGCATTGTAATTTACTGCCAAATATTCCAACATGATATTGTCTTGTTAATCTTTGGACAACTCTTGAAAAATATGATAAAATACGTTGGAATATCGTTTTTCTGCTTTGCAACTTTATCAATTAGTGTGAAAGTAAACATTGCTTAGTTGGGAAGTGTTTGTTGGTAAAATTATTATCATTAAATTTAAATAACAAACCATGCATTGTAATTTATTACCAAATATTCCAATATGTTACGTTGGAATATTTGGACAACCTTAAAAATGTGCAAAAAATATGTTGGAATACCTTTTTTCTATTTTAATCTTTAACAATATGATTACACTCAAACTAATTGTTGCTACATATTTGGCAATATGATTACATTCAAAAATACGTTAAAGATGCGAAGCACTTTTTGCGCATTTTTCATTTCTGATGTCCAACTATTTCAACACAACAGGCTCATTTGTATTTAAATGGGCAAGACATCCATATTTAAATATCGAATTAGGGCGTAATTTCATTTTAAATAAGGGCATCAAAAGAACGAAACAACATTAGGACTCGGTCTTAATTTCTTCGGAAATTCATTTACCTCTAACTGGGTCACGATATTTCGATCATTTGCGGAACCGATAAAGAGAAGCGAAATGACCATCCATTGCCATTTTATCTAGTCAAAAGCTTCGAAATCATCCGTGACTTGCTACACTGGCTTAACGATTGCGAAACCCATTTTATGGTCTCGAGGAATGCATTAATTGAAATCTGGAGTACGCCTTTGAGATGTAGCCATTTTATAATGACATTCATAATTAAGAAGCGATTTCCTTAAAGCGAAATTCCGCCGCTATCTGGCGCGCTGCATTCTGGGTAAGACCATTATCCCGATATCAGTGGCGGAAATTTTCCAATCCTAATGAAGGACATCGAAGCTCTTCGGGAGCAAATATTTAACGACAGAACAAGGAATAACTTTTACAAGACAACGGCGGGCGGATTTTAAAACTCTTCGCCAGATGGGGATTGTGTCAATGTTTGGGTAAAGGGCTTTTCTGAATGTGGAGCAGGAACTAGCGCCAAGTTCCTCTCGGCAATTAAACTATTTCTTCGCAAAAACACACATTGGGAGTTACCACTGGTCAGATATAGAATACCAATTCAATTTATCGTCTTTATTTATTTGCATATGTATCATCATAGTTACGCGTAATATGGGACTTTAAAGTATGGGAGAGCCATTTGTAACTTACTATGAATAACATTATATTGCAATTATAGTATCAGGTTAAAAATTAATACCGAATTTGAAACCTAATTATTTATAAAATACAATTACGTTAATAATTTATTTAAACTTTCGTGACTTTACTATTTAGTACCAAATATTCCAACATAAGCATGTGTTTTGGAATATTTTACAACTCTTGAAAAATGTGCAAAAAATATGCTTGAATACCTTTTTTCCTGTTTTACATCTTTAACATGGGTTAGAATATCATTTTTTTCCTTTGTATCACTAACAGTAAGATTGTATTTATGTTAATTGTTAAAAATGCAAAGTAGAAAAAAGGTATTCTAACATATGTGAAGGATGTAAATTATATTACTTCAAAATTGCAAATAAGATAAAAAAGTGGACAAATAGTATTGTAAATGAGACAAACAAGATTACAAATAAGACAAAAAAGTGGACTACTAATATTGCAAATAAGACAAACAAGATTGCAAATAAGACAAAAAAGATTACTAATAAAACAAAAAAGATTGCAAATAAGACAAAAAGGATTGTAAATAAGACAAATAAGATGGTCATATAAAATTGCATTCACACTAATTGTTAAAGATGTAAAGCAGAAAAAAAATATTCCAACATACGTTAAAGATTCAAACTATTAAAAATGTATTACAATATAGATTTTGCACATTTTTTAAGAGTTGTCCAAATATTCCAACACGTCATGCTCATTCATATTTAAATGAGCAAGACATATTTAAATATCGAGTTAGGGCTTAATTCCATTTTAAATAAGCGCATCAAAAGAAGGAAACAACGTTATGACTCGGTCTTATTTGCTTCGGAAAATCATTTACTTCCTAGCTGGGTCACTATATTTCAATCATTTGCGGAACCGATAAAGCGAAGTAAAATGACCATCTATTGCCATTTTATCTAGTCAAAAGTTTCGAAATCATCCATGACATGCTACACTGACTTAACGATTGCGAAACCCATTTTATGATCTCGAGGAATGCATTTATTGAAATCTGGAGTACGCCTTTGAGATGTAGCCATTTTATAATGACATTCATAATTAAGGCGCGCCTAATTAAGAAGCGATTTCCTTAAAGCGGAATTCCGCCGCTATCTGGCGCGCTGCATTCTGGGTAAGACCATTATCCCGATATCAATGGCGGGAATTTTCCAATCCTAATGAAGGACATCGAAGCTCTTCGGGAGCAAATATTTAACGACGGAACAAGGAATAACTTTTACAAGACGACGGCGGGCGGATTTTAAAACTCTTCGCCAGATGGGGGATTGTGTCAATGTTTGAGTAAAGAGCTTTTCTGAATTTGGAGCAGGAATTACGCGCCGAGTTCCTCTCGGCAATTAAACTATTTCTTTACCAAAACACACATTGGGTGTTGCCACTGGTCAGAGGTAGAATTCGGAATCAATTTATCGTCTGTATTTATTTGGATAGGTATCATCATAGTTACCCGTAATATGGAACGGACTTTAAAGTATGGGAAAACCATTTGTAACTTATTATGAATAACATTATATTGCCATTATAGTATCAGGTTAAAAATTAATACCGAATTTGAAACCTAATTACTTATAAAATACAATTACGTTCATAATTTGTTTAAACTTTTGTGACTTTATTATTTAGTACCAAATATTCCAACATAAGCATGTTTTTTTGAATATTTTACAACTCTTGAAAAATGTGCAAAAAATATGCTGGAATAAATTTTTTCTGCTTTGCATCTTTAACATGTGTTGGAATATCATTTTTTTCCTTTGTATCTTTAACAGTAAGTTTGTATTTAAATTAATTGTTAAAAATGCAAAGTAGAAAAAAGGTATTCTAACATATGTGAAGGATGTAAATTATATTACTTCAAAATTGCAAATAAGATAAAAAAGTGGACAAATAGTATTGTAAATGAGACAAACAAGATTACAAATAAGACAAAAAAGTGGACTACTAATATTACAAATAAGACAAACAAGATGTACAAATAAGATTGCAAATAAGAAAAAAAGATTACTAATAAGACAAAAAAGATTGCAAATAAGACAAAAAGGATTGTAAATAAGACCAATAAGATGGTCATATAAAATTGCATTCACACTAATTGTTAAAGATGTAAAGCAGAAATAAAGTATTCCAACATATGTTAAAGATTCAAAGGTGAAAAAATGTAGTACAATATATTTTTTGCACATTTTTCAAGAATTGTCCACATATTCTAACACGACATGCTCCTTCATATTTAAAGGAGCAAGACATATTTAAATATCGAGTTAGGGCTTAATTCCATTTTAAATAAGCGCATCAAAAGAACGAAACAACGTTATAACTCGGTCTTATTTGCTTCGGAAAAACATTTACCTCTAGCTGGGTCGTGATATTTCAATCATTTGTGGAACCGATAAAGCGAATTGAAATGACCATCCATTGCCATTTTATCTAGTCAAAAGTTTCGAAATCATCCTTGACTTGCTACACTAGCTTAACGATTGCGAAACCCATTTTATGGTCTCGAGGAATACATTAATTGAAATCTGGAGTACGCCTTTGAGATGTAGCCCTTTTATAATGACATTCATAATTAAGACGGGCCTAATTAAGAAGCGATTTCCTTAAAGCGAAATTCCGCCGTTATCTGGCACGATGCATTCTGGGTAAGACCATTATCCCGATATCAGTGGCAGGAATTTTCTAATCCTAATGAAGGACATCGAAGCTCTTCAGGAGCAAATATTTAACGACAGAACAAGGAAAATCTTTTACAAGACGACGGCGGGCGGATTTTAAAACTCTTCACCAGATGGGAGATTGTGTCAATGTTTGAGTAAAGAGCTTTTCTGAATTTGGAGCAGGAATTACGCGCCAAATTCCTCTCGGCAATT